ACCTGGGGACTCTTGGGCCCAGAGTCAGTGACATAGCCACAGAGGACTAGAGTGGAGAGTGAAGCATCCAGCTGGTAACATGTCCAGAGTATGTGAGACAAAATCTCGTGATCCTTACTTTTTTTTTCATGTTTTATTGTGAATTATATATTTTACATGAGACCTTTAGTTTTACATTCATTCCACTGTATATCGTTTCATTGCCATGGTTCCAATCCCCTCCATGCATCATCAACCGACCAAAGGGTATACCCTATAAACCCGCACCCTACACTCCCCGTGCCCGCCCCCATTCTTCAGCACACAGTCCCTCTCCCTCTCTGTATCCAAAGTCCCCAGCCACTTCATCACTCCATGTCATCCGTCTCTGCCTCTATCTCAGCCTTGCTGCTTCTCTAGGTAGGGTCCTCCTCTCGGCTCTTCTCCGTTGATGGTCCTAGAGACCTCAGCTCCTAGACTGGAGAGTTAGTCACTCCCTTCCTTGCTACAAAACGTCTACCTTTACATTTCCAACCCTCACAATCAGTCCTGATAACAATTATTCACACTATTGTATCATGATCCTTACTTTTAAGGGGTATTCTTTCAGTATTTCTTCCAATGCAGATTAATTTGTTTTTCTGGCAGTCTGAGGTCTATTCAGTATCCTTTGCCAACATCATGATTCAAATGCATTAGTTCTTCACTCTTCCTTATTCATTTCCAGCTTTTCCATGCATATGACACCTTAATCTTCATTGTAATTATCTTTGCTTTTGAACACTTTAAATAGGTCTGTTGTTTTCATTTCTTTTTTATTCTTAATTTAACTTTTTATTGGAATTTTAGTGAAATTGGTTTTCCATCCAACAATTTATACACATTTTGTTTCATAACATTAATTGCAATCCCCACATTGTAACAGCACTCTTCTAACTTCCTCCTTCCTTACCATTTCCCTGAGTCCTTCTCTATCCCTTCCTACTGTCTGAGTTTATCCGTGGGCAGATGCTGCACATTATATGTTGTATAGTTGATTGCTCTAAGAAGGGTGTACCTTCCTGGTGTTACTATTCATCTTGCTGTTGTTGTTAAGTGCCATTAAGTAGGTTCTGACCCATAGTGAACCTGTATCGGGTTTCCGAGGAGCAGCTAGTGAGATTGAACCGCTCATCTTTAGGTTTAAACAACTTTGCAGTCCAGCTCATTAACTCACAGCACCACACCAGGACCCCATTAATCATCTTATGGGCTTATTTTTTGGTTGACCTTTGCCATACTTATTTCCTAAATTCAAAGAAGATATGTGTTGAATTGTGTCCCCAAAATTTATGTGTTGTAAGTCCTAGCCTTTATGCCTGTGCTTGTAATCAAATTTGGGATTGAGTTGTCTTTGTTATGCTAATGCTATGGGATTAGTATAGGCTATGTTTTAAACCAGTCTCTTTTGAGATATTAAAGAGACTTTTAAAAAGCATTAGATATAGGGTAGATAGGGATGCACAACTTAGACATTGGCATGAAGTGAGTGGCTTACAAGTGTTCAAGAGGGAGTTTAGTTTAAGATTGTGTATGGGAAGATAGAGTCTCCACTGAATAGTTGCATCTTGTCTAGATGGGTCTGGTGAAAAGAGATGGGGATAAGATTCTTATGTTTCAAAAGTGAGTAATTATTATCATGACTAATTGCAACTGTCACAACCGTAAAGGTAGAAGTTTTACAACAAAAAACGAGGAAGATGCTAATCTTACAGTCCAGAAAAAAAGGACCCTGGGACCATCAAGAGAGAAGAGTACAAGTGGAATGCGGGACCCTATCCGGAGAAGCAGCAACACCAAAGATGGAGGCAGAGATGAGGACATGTAGAGAGGGAGCAGCTGAGGACTCTAGACTCATGGAAAAGGAGGGGCTAAGTGCTGGCAGCCAGCAGCAGGCTTGCAGAATGTGCCCTTTGGTTATTTAAATTATTATATATTCCTGAGTGTTTTTATGTACATCCCCCACTGTCACACCCCTCCCCCCCAAAAAAAAAAACCCAACACAGAAGGAATAGAACCAGAGTTGTATACTTATACCATACTTATTTTATATGTTGAACAAATAATCTGAGAAACTGGACTATATGAAGAAGAATGTGGTTGCAGGATTGGAAGAAAGCTCAATTAACAACCTGCAATATGCAGATGAAGAGCTCTGGTAGCGTAGTGGTTACAAATCTTGCTGCAAACCGCAGTTAGAAACTACCAGCGGCTCTGTGGGAGAAAGATGAGGCTTTCTGCTCCCTTAAAGATTTACAGCCTCAGAAACCCTGTTCAGGGTCGCTATGGGTTGGAACTGACTCAGTGGCACTTAACAACAACAACAACAATATGCAGATAACACCACCTTGCTAGCTGAAAGTGAAGAATACTTGAAGGATTTGCTGGTGAAGATCAAAGACTTCAATATGGATTGCTCAATGAAGAAAACAAAAATCCTCACAAGTAAACTAACAAATACATCCTGATAAAAGTAGAAAAGATTAAAGTTGTTAGGTTTTCATTTTTGCTTGGATCCACAATTAACACTCATAGAAGCAACAGTAAAGGAATCAAATGATGTATTGCTTTAGGCAAATCTAACTTCAAGGTTGGCACTTCAAACCCAGCAACCACTCTGTGGGAGAAAGATGAGGCTTCCTGCTCCCATAGGATTTACAGTTTTGGAAACCTGAAGGAATAGCTCTATACTATAGAGTTGCTATATCTTAGAATTGATTTGATGGCAGTGGGTTTGGTGTTTTTGGTTTAGGGCAATAAAACAATGGTCAGAGATTTACACCTATGTTTTCCTAAGAATGTTATAGTTTTAGCTTATATATTTAGGTCTTTGATCAATTTTGAGATAATTTTTGTTAATGATATTAGGTAGAGGTCTCACCTCTTTCTTTTACATATGAATATGCAGTTGTCCCTAGGACTCCTGGTGTGGCACTGCACTGGACTACAAATTGCAAGGTTGACAGTTCAGTCCCGCCATCTGCTTCTCAGAAACTGTAGGATAAGCACTCGACCTCAAGGTCGGTTTGAATGGCAAGGTCCATAATTCAAACTTACTAGAAACGCTATAATTCAAAATTATAACCCATAATTCAAACTTACCTCGGAAACCCTATACAGGGTCACTATGAGCCACAATCAACTCACCAGCACTTAACAGCAACAATAACAATGACAACTGATGTTGAACTTCTTGTCTTACGCTTGTTAACCATTTGTATATATTCTTTGGAAATACATTTTAATGTCTTCTCAACTTCTTTACCTATTTATTGTATTATTTGTCTTTTTATTATTGAATTATAAGAGTGCCATATGTTTTACTGTATCTTTTAGAGTACTGCTATGTTTGGTTCTAAGACTGATTTTTTTTCCTCTCTTACTGAAAGGTCCTGTCCAAAATGCATTGATGTCTTCACCTGTATCAGTGAGCCAAGGATATAATTCTCAGCTTCCAGAATCCTACCCTCATCTAATACCAGCAAAGACTTCTTTGAATCCAGTCTCTGGACAGTCTAACTATGGTGGTTATCAGACTGCTTCTCCACTAAGTATTTATCAGGGACCTGGGCAGACTCTTAATAGACCACCCATGGCTTCTAATACAGTGATACCGTCACTCCATAGTGGTCCTGTTTCCCGAATGCCACCAGTTGCTTCTCAGAACTCAGCTGCTACACCAATGCCTTCTGGCAGTTTTCTTCCTGGAATCAACCAACCACCACCTCCCTTGAATTGGCAATATAACATTCCATCTATAGGATCACAGTCAAACCACTGTCCCCGTGTATCAACTCAACCAACGGTATCTGGGAATACAAATTTAACAACAAATCATCAATATATTTCTTCTGGAGATCCTTCACTTCAAAACAGCCACTTAAAATCAGGTAATGTTATTAGGTCAATCTTGTGTGCCATTGCACAAATTCCAGCTCACAGTGACTATAGCACAGAGCAGAAGTACCCATAGAGTTTTGTAAGCTATAGTTTTAATGGGAGCAGGTCACCAGGTCTTTTCTTTCACAGAGCCACTGGTGAGTCCAAACTACCAACCTGTTAGTTAGCAGCCAAGTGCGTTTATGAGTGCTTAAAATGTAGAAAAGTAAAACTTAGGCTTGTTTCGATGTTTGAGTTAATATTGCAAACTTAGATCCATGTGGAAAAATATTTTAAAAATCATTGTCAGTCTTTAAATAAATTATTTTTCAACCTTTGCACTAATTCAAATAACTTAAAGTCATGGATTGTTAATGTTTGTTTCTTTCCTTGGAGGGTGTCCTTTGTTTTTATTTTGTCATCCATGATATTTAAATAATTCAGGTATACAAGAAGAACGACTTCCTTAGGGACAGACTATCACTCTAATTGACTGAGTTCCATCTCAGACTCTTGGGAAGCTGAATCACAGTGGCCTCTCTTGGATCTTGATCTAAAGCTTGAGTTATCTTTATCACATGGCTGTCAACAGTTTTTTTCTACAGAAACTGCAGGATCCTGGAGTGCAGTTCAGAACAAACAATGCTTTTGGAGGGAAGAATGTTATTAAGCACAACTGGTATCAGAAAAAAGGATGTCTAGTAGTGCAATGAGTTAAGCATTGTGCTGCTAACCACAAGGTTGGCACTTCAAACCCACCAGCCACTCTGTGGAAGAGAGATGAGGCTATCTGCTCCATAAAATTTACAGTTTGGGAAACCCTAAGGAACAGTTCTATTCTACTATAGGGTTGCTGTGTGTCAGAATTGATTTGATGGCAGTGGAGTTGATGTTCTTGGTTTGGGGCCATAAAACAATGGACAGATTTACACCTATGTTTTTCTAAGAGTGTTAAAGTTTTAGCTCTTATTTTCTTTGCTCAATTTTTAAATAATTTCTATAAATGATATTAGGTAGAGGTCTAACTTCTTTCTCTTACATGTGAATATGCAGTTGTCCCTAGGACTCCTGGTGTGGCACTGTAGGATCAACACAGGACTGCAAACCACAAGGTTGGCAGTTCAGACCTACCAGTGGCTCCTTAGAAATCCTATTCAGGATCTCTGTGAGTCGGAACTGACTTAGCGGCACTAACAATAACAACATGCAGTTGTCACAGCACCATTTGTTGAAAAGACGATTCTCTCTTCCATTGAATGGTTTTGGTACTTTTGTTGTAATAATGTGATCATAAATGGATGGATAATTTTGAACTCTGAATTTCATCCTGTTGATCTATTGTCTATTTTTATGCCAGTACCAGTCTTTATAGATAAGAAATGTCAGACTTGAATGATTTTCTCAAAACAGCAAAGAAAATAGTTTGGAAAATTATACTATTTAAAAATAGATGTTGTTGTTGCTGTTGTTACTAAGTGCCATTGAGTTGGTTCCAACTCATAGCAACCCTATATAGGGTTTTTAAGAAGCAACTGGTGAGTTTGAACCACCAACCTTGTGGTTCAAACCAACCTTGTGGCCAGCGCATTGCTTCTAACAAAAAGGCTCAAGTAATTGGTTCGTTTAACCACTTACTTTTCCTTTTCTTTTTTGCTATTAAAATTACTGTAATTAGTAGTGTTACTTTTAAATGTATTTAAAATGTTCATGTTGAGGTCTTCATGATAATACTCAGCTTACATCTTCAAGGAAATGAACTAGTAAAAGCGAACATTTTGATAACCTGAAATTCCTGTGGCTATGACTGAAACCCTTAGGTAGAGTGTTTAGACTCCCAGCATAGATGTGGAGAGACATGAGAAAGGCCTACTCCTGTATAAAAGAAGGGAAGAGAAGGATATGTAAACTAATAAAATAAACCTAAAATAAATCCATGGAGTCCTGATATGATGCTGTAAGATAAGCACTGGACTGCTAACCAAAAGTTTAGCAGTTCAAACCCACCAGCCATTCCTCAAAACCCTATACTCCCCCCCCTTCAAAAAAAAAAAAAAAAGCTAAAGAGGATAGAGAGAAACACTGTTAACTGATGATATATAGAGGGGATAATAATCAATGTAATGAAACAAGCTACATGAATGGTTGAATGTGAAGCTGATGATGTGCCCTGTAAACTTTCACTCAATCCAAAATAAAAACATTTAATAAAAAAAACAGAAATAAAACAACGTATTGCCTTAGGCAAATCTGCTGCACCAAAAAAAAAAAAAAAGAAAAAACAATCCTATACTCATAGGGTTGCTATGAGTTGGAACAGACTTAACAACAACAAAAATAAAATAAATCCATGGCTCACTTTCTTTTTTCTTATGTAAGATTTCTGAGATGTCTGATCTCAACACTTTGAATATCCCTTCCTTCTATTAAGTGTCTAGTTCACATACTAAATTCTCTGAATTTTTTTTTCTAATAAACCACCTTTTAACACTCTTATATTAGCTTAAGGGATAAGGGAAGATAAATTCTGAAGTTTTAGGTATTAGAATTATAAATAAAGATCATTCAACTTGAAAAAAATGTCTATTTTATAAAATGTAACAGTATTTTGATTCAGAAATAGTCTTCTTAAAGACTATGACAAATTTCTCTAAATTAACTTGTAGGCTATTAAAGTTAGGTTATTATACCTTTGTGGTCAGATGTGTCATAGATTAATTTCATGATGAGTTGGAAATGTACCTTGCTCCTTTGTTCCTTTGACTTGTCTGTAAAACCATAGAGATACGCTTGCATACTTCTTAGATAAGGGAGTTACATGCAAATAATCTCTGTTTTCACTTCACTAATAAGGCATTGTTATCTTACTGGGAGAGATAGGGTTCAGCAATGTAGTTAATTTTTCAACTGGAGAGTTTAACTGTACTGGAGAAACATGTTGAAAAAGTTCATATCTGGGTCCCTTTATACATTTCTTATTGTTGTTGTTAAGTGCCATTGAGTTAGGTCCAACCCATAGCGACCCTGTATAGCGTTTCTTGTGGTTCAAACAACTTTGCAGTCTAGTGCATTAGCCCACAGCGCCACACCAGAACTCCTTTACTTTTATCAAATATACGGTTATTACATAATGCACTATGAATAAAATGCATTGTCTATTTTACTTACAAACTGAGGTTAAAAAAATCTTAGAATAAAAAATTAAATCACCTGCTTATCATTGTTTTTTAACTACTATGTAGACTTTATTCTTTCTCTTTTGACAAATGAGAAGGTAGAAGCTATGTGGTTAACTTTAAAGAACAGGTGTTTGCAGGGTTTGAAACTTTTGTTATCCCACAGAATTCACTTGAGTGTAACTGATTATGTTTTTGCACTATTCAGAACCTACTGTCCTAATAAAGGAGTCCTGGTGTGGCTCTGTGGCTAATGCGTCAGACTGCAAAATCATTTGAACTGCAAGGTCAGTGGTTCAAGCTCACCAGCTGCTCCTTGGAAACTCTGTACAGGGTCGCTCTGGATCAGAAGTGACTCAATGGCACTTAACATCAACTGTCCTAATAGAAAAATAGTGACAGTGAAGACAGCAAGATCTGGTAGATACAGAGATAAATACAATGTCATTCTGAGTTTGGTTTTATTGGTAACTTTAAACTGCTTGTGTAACTCACTGCCATCAAGTTGAGTCTGACTCATAGCGAACCTGTATACGGTTTGGAAGCTATAAATCTTTATAGGAGGAGAAAGCCTCATCTTTCTCCCTCTGAGAGGCTGATGGGTTTGAACTGCTGGCCTTGCAGTTAGCAGACCAGTACCTATTCTACAGCGCTACCAGAGTTCAAGCTAAGATTGTGTTCTGATTTTTAAGCCTGGGGAGTGTGTTTGATATAGTGTTCAAGTCATGGACCGTAAACAGATCTTTGATTATTGTTAGGTACATACTGAACAACATACAAATGTATGATTTTATTTTTAACAAACCATATGCCCAGCAAAGTAAAACTCAGGGAATTTGCATTCATATTAATACACTGTAATTTTAGAAAGCACTCTAGAGACCTAGTTGATGTTGACTGAATGGGCTTAATTAATAGGGCATTAACAAAATCTTATTAATGTTAGTTTCTACTAGGAATATTTCACATGGCCTGGTTAACTTTTGAGACCAGTTAGTTAAAAATAAATCAATAAATGGAGAACATCATCTACCATAAAAGTGATTTGAGAAGCACTGGTGGCACAGTGGTTAAGTGCTCACTTACTAACTCAAAGAGTGATCCAACTCAGCTAGCTAGTCTATGGGAGAAAGATGTGCAGTGTGCGTCCATCAAGTTTATAATTTAGGAAAGAAACCCTGTGGGCCAGTTCTGTGCTGTTCTGCAAGGTCTCTATGAGGCGGAATCGGCTCTGATAATGGGTTTGGGTTTAAAAGTGAAGTCTTGCTGATTTTTTTTTCTTAGTTTGCACTGCTTTAATAATCGACAGGTAAGAAGTATGGTAGGAGCAACTTGGAAACCTATAAAGTGGGCATTTATAGTGAAAAGACATAAACCTGAGAAGTTATATTCCTAGTAATTTGGTAATTACAATTAAAATATAAAATTTAAGTTAGTTAAATTTGGTAAAAAGCTGGTTTTGACCTTTATCGTATGATCTTAAGTGACATGTGAAAAATTGATGTTTTCATAGGTTCTACACCCCCTTTAGTGAATCCACCTCTGCCTACTACTTGTCAACCAGGAGCTCCTCTTGGCGTCCCTCTAACTAGAGGCCCACCTCCAGTTAGGACCCCTGCTCCCCAGACAGCATTACATAGTGCTGTACCCCAATCCTCATTTAATTCAGCTATAAACCAAGAAGGTAAGCAAGCTAAAAAAAATGATAACATTTCAATTTAAGGTCAAAAGATGAATATAATGTGAATTCTTTGCATCAGAATCCTTTATATTTTTACTTCCATAAAATCTATTTGTTGGTTAGGGATTGACTTTATGCAAGATTTGGAAATAAGAAAATAAAAGACAAGGAGAAGGGAAAAACAATGCCCATTATTCCACTACTGAATATAATCAATATTATCATTTTTGTATTTTCTTCTAATATTTCATCTTTAAAGTAGTATGAGTAGGGAAAAAACTGACCTGTGAATAGCTTGAAAAGAATAGTGTTAATAGTGATTAAGAAAATGATATTAAATTGTTATTGGTTGCCACATTATAACACAGAAAATCAAACTATATAAGTTTTTAACCAACTAAAAAGAATTTATAATTCCCTGGTGTTTTTATTTCTACTAAAAATTTGAGTGAGGTTTTCTATATTCTTATTAAAGCTATATATTTGGTGTTAATATAGACTGTTAAAGTTAGCACCTTTGTGCTTAAGTGCTAGAGGTATTTATATCACCTTCAAATAATTTCTGGATTCCATTCTGCTTACTAGATAATTTGAAGGTAAGATCTTTTATCCTTCTAATTTTATTTTCTTAAAAGAAGGTAAGATCTTTGATCCTTCTAATTTTATTTTCTTAAACTTTAAGTAAGTTTTGATGATTTATTTACCCAGTGTGTACTGCTCCTTAAACATTGTTATTGCTGATGAAATCTTTTCAGATGCTATATAATTTATAAACACCACAAAACACCATGTTGCTGGAATTGTATTTTGAAAGCCCTACTAGTTGTACACAATATGTTGTTTTTGTTAAGTGCCAATGAGTAGGTTCTGACTCACAGCGATCCTGTATAGGATTTACAAGGAGCAGCTGGTAGGTTTGAACTGCCAACCTTACAGTTAGCAGTCTAGTGCTTATCCTACAATGTCATTCCAGGACCCCAGGCACAATATAAGATGAAAAATAGATTCCTTCAGAATGCTCATACTTCTTTTCACTGAAGCTACAGCTAAGTTACCTGAAACTTTTACATATTTTTTCTTGTTAAAAACATTTTTTGTGCAGTTTGAAGTTCTTATTTCAGTATTTTACAGTTTTGTTAGGCTGTAAATTAAACAATTTGTAGTTCGGAAAGTTGTCTAAAATTTTAGGCAGTAGTTCAAATTGTGAAATAAATTATAATAATTGTTCTAATTTAAATACTATTCATAAACTTCCCTTATAGGTGGTACATTAAATACCAATAATGGATTTATGGGTGTCCATAACAGTTATGATGAAATTGAAGGCGGTGGCTTCTTGGGTGAGATGCTATGAAAGTTTTTGTTTTGTTTTTTATAATTATAAAGTGTTATGTGTTCATTGTAGGAAATCTGGAAAATGTAGAAACAAAGAACAAAACTTCATAATCATGTCATGTAATGTCTGCTGTTAACATTTTGATCCCCAAACATTTAAATGTTGTCTTAGTGGTTTTTGTCTCTAGAATTGGGATTTTGTTGTTGTTGTTAAGTGCCATCAAGTTAGTTCCGACCCATAGTGACCCTAAACAAGATTTCTGAGACTGTAAATCTTTACAGGAGCAGAAAGCCTCATCTTTCTCCTGCGGAGCAGCTGGTAGTTTCGAACTGCTGACTTTGCAGTTCGCAGCCCGATTTGTAACCTCTATGCTACCAGAGCTCCTTTTTAAATATCCTTAGGGCACTTTTTTTTTTTTTTTTAAGGTTTTTATTGGGGATTGAGGGAAAGTTTACAGGGCAGATCATCAGTTTTACATTCAACAAATCATACACCTTGTTTCATTATAATCCCCTCCATGTACCATCAGATACCAGTATTTCTCTCTATTCACTTCAGCTTCTTTTTTTTTTTGAACACTCAGGCATATATAATAATTTACACCACCAAAGTGCACATTCTGCAAATGTACCTCCTGGCCGCCAGTTCTTTATCCCTCTCTTCCCATGAATCTAGAGTTCTCAGCTGCTCCCTCTCTCCATGGCCCCATTTCTGCCTCTATCTCTCTCTGGTGTCCCTGCTTCTCTGTATAAGGTCTCACATTCCACTTGTGCTCTTCTCCCTTGATGCTCCTAGGGCCTTTGTTTCTGGACTGTGAGATTACTCCCCTGTTTTAGTTATAAAACTTCTACCTTTACAACTGTGACAGTCACAGTTAGTCATGGTAACAATTACTCACTATTGAAACATAAGAATGTTCTCCCCATCTCTTTTCACCAGACCCATCTAGACAAGATGAAAACTACTCAGTGGGGACTCTTTCCCCACACACTGTTAAACTAAACTCCTCCTTGAAACCTTGTAATCCAGTCACTTCGTATCTTTATATTGCCCCCTCATTTTAGGTAGCCAATGTCTAAGTTGCCCATGCCTACCTACCCTGTGTAATGAGGAATAGCATTAATACTTGATGTGAAGACTCCTTCCTTCTCTGTTGATATTTACTGTTACTACTTCTATAAGGTCGCTGTGAGTTGGTACCGACTCGATGGCACCTAACAACAACAACAAAACCTTCATAAGTATAGGACAAGTTTATCAAATATTGTTTTGTTCTTTTTTTCTTTATCTTCCTCTAGTCAAGTTCTGATTATCAAGTCATCCTGGCTAGGTCAAATGGGTACTATCTGCAACTTTGCGTGTTCTTGTGCATCTCCTCTCACTTCATATCAGCTGGATGCTGCACTCAGCTCTAGACCTCTGTGGCTGTTTCCTTGTCCATAGGCTCAGATGTCCCCAGGTCTCATCACACTTTGGACCAACCAGCCCTTCCTCTTCTCTCTCTCATCTCCAGGTGAACAGGAGTCTATGGAATGTGGTTGAACTCAGCCCATTTCTTCATAGGTGCCTTTCCCCCTCTTCCACTCACCAGTAGACCAATGTGGTTGTCAGCAAGTTTACATGCCTGCTCATGCGTTCCCTTTGAGTTTCGGTCTTGGAGGGGCGTTAGTCCTGAAGGAACTTGATTGGATGACTTCCCGGCGAACAGCCTGCTTATTTTTGTAGTAGCTAGTCATACTGCCATTTTTGTTTTGGGTTTTTCCTGATGACCTTTTTCTAAAGATGGATCTTCTCTCACTCTAGCTGTTCCAGGCTGGTCTGCTTGTCCTTTTTAGTGGGAATGTCCCACCTCAAAAGGTTCCGTAGTCCTATGCACCACAAAGGCTCTGCAGGAGACCTATTTCACTGGGCATGTAGTAGAACCCTTTTTAGATATTCCAATCAGTTATAGGCTGAAGACGGCCTTACAAGCTTTCTGTAATCATGTCTCCTGACTTTCTGTCTATCCAACTCAAGTGTCCATGTTTGTCATATTTTAACTTTTCTTACATGAAATGTATAAGTATGCAGTTATTCAGAAGATTTTCAAGTTGTAATTTCTTATTTTGTTTTTAATGTGTGGATTTGAAGTATTCTGGAGTATAAAATAGAACTTAAAAGTTACCTTGTCTCTAGCAACACCACAGCTTCCTAGCAAGAATCCAAAAATGGGCCGAAGTGTTGGATATTCATATCCTTCCTTACCACCTGGTTATCAGAACACAGCACCAACTAGTACAACTGGAATGGCACCCTCTTCCTTGAATTACCCAAGTGGACCGCAGGCCTTTACTCAGGTAAACCTTAAGTTTTTTTCCCTTTTTTTTGTTTAAATTGCTATGTGTGTACATGAAGAAATTTTAGAAAGTTACATTGAGTATTTTTGTAATCATTTACAGTATTTCTTGAGGCCTTTGTTCTTTTACATTAGTTAGAAAAAAGTAATTTACAAAACAATCTAGATTATGTTTTGTTATTTAAGGCGATATTAAATAGCCAAGTCTCTAAACACTTGTTTTCAGCTGAAGATATTGCAAAGTTATTTACTTAGAAATTGTTTATTTGTAGACTCCCTTAGGTGCTAATCATTTAGCTGCAAGCATGAGTGGATTAAATCTACATCCAGAAGGTTTAAGAGTTATCAATCTTCTTCAAGAAAGAAACATGCTTCCATCAACACCTTTGCAGCCTCCAGTTCCAAATTTGCATGAAGACATCCAGAAACTTAATTGTAATCCAGAGTAAGGCTTCAAACAGCATTTCTCATTAAAAGTTTTTCCAATTTCTTTTAACCTTCCTGTATTATGAACAAACTGTATGAGTATATTAATTGACAAAAGTAGTTTTGAATCTAGAAAAGTTTATTTTCTTCCTTAATTTAGATTTGAAATGTTCTAAGTCGAGAAATTGGGTTTAACTTGTGAACTGATTGCATTCTTATCAGCTCAAATGTGGTAATGATATGCATTGTAGTAGCTGGAAGAAAGTCAGAAGTACAGAGATTTGATTCTATATCATCCTTCATTTCGTCTCATTTTAAACTGAAGGGTGGGATATATTTATTGACAACATTTTGGTAAATTGAACTTTGTTAACTTTAAAATAGTGAACTTTTCAATAATAAACTTTGTTTTGAATTTTCAAATTTGGGTTACTCTTTAAATTCCAATTAATCTAGACTTATATAAAGAAAAATTGAATAACTATCATTTTTTATGCACAAGTCATAAACTATATTTCATTTATAAATTGCAGAAGTTCGAAGGTGAGTCAAAAATTATCCGCAATCTGGCTGCAGAATTTATTTTAATCAACTTTTGGAAAAGACAAATACAGCATTTTTTGACATAATCTCCTTGCTTTTCAATACACTTTGCCCACCTGTCAGCAAGCGTTCTTGTTCCCCTATTAAAAAATAAATGTTTTAGGCTGAGCTGCAAACCATGAATTCACTGCTATCTTTACTTCTTCATCAGAAATGAATGTTCATCCTCGAAGGACTGCTTTCAGGTGGAAGTCTGATTGATGGAAGAAAATCAGGATTATAGGGAGGATGCTTTACACCTCAAAGCAAAGTTTTTGCAGAGTGTCAACAGTGTGGGTAGAGGTGTCTAGATGTGTGTTGTCGTGTAGGATCACAACACCCTTGGATAGCAGTCCTCTGCATTTAATCTGAAGCTTAAGCGTTAGCTCTTCATTAAGCATCTCACTGTAATGGACTCTGTTGACTGTTAAACCTTTTTCCTGATAGTGTTCCAATACTGGCCCATGAGAATCCCAGAAAACTGTAAGCGTCAATTTCCCAGCTGATGGTTGACTTTTGAACTTTTTTTTGGTTAGTGTTTGAGGATGTTTCCATTCCATGCTCTGCTGTTCACTGTCAGACTCATAGTGATGAATCCATGTCTCAGTACCAGTAATGATTGTTTTAAAGAGACGTTTACCTTCCATTGAGTAATGGTCCAAATTTTGTGTGCAGATGTCCACCTTCATGTGCCTGCATAGTACTAACCTTGAACGGAAAGCACTGATACGAGGATGTAGCTAACTGGAGTGCGTATAATTTTTGACTCATCTTCTTGTAACTGTCCACTTTTTGTTTCTGAATAGGGTGTATAATTACATGTTTTAATGGGCTGAAATTTGAGACTGTTGAAATTTCTCATTTGTTATCTGATCCAGTTTTTAAATGTATATGCCTAAAGATGTTTTTGGTCCAAAAATAATTATGGCAGCAACTGACAGATGTTTTCTACTTTGATGTAGGTTATTTCGATGTACCCTGACTAGCATTCCTCAGACTCAGGCCTTACTGAATAAAGCCAAACTTCCTTTGGGACTGCTGCTTCATCCTTTCAAAGACCTAGTGGTACGTTTCACTACTAAAAGTAAATACGTAGTGAAAAATTATCTAAGTGGTGAGGAATTTTCTGTATCAGTGTAAGAATCCAGTAAGAAAGGTTTTGAACTATCTTTAGGAACTTGATTTCTTTGCATTTTATCCCAAAATTATATTACTAAACACTTCCAAAATAAGGTTAAAGAATCATATTGTTGACAAATTCAAGAAGTACTGAATACAAAATTGAAAGAAAACAAATAAATGAATTATTCTTTTTAAAAACTGAAAATTATCTAGCCATTAAAGGTACTTTACCCAGTCCCCGGTCTGCCATCCTTGAAGTAATAGGGTTGCTTTAAGTTGGAACTGACTCGATGGTGCTTAAACACAAACAGGGCAGTGTTCACCTTTCTTTTAAGACTCATAGCTACATGCTTTTTTTTTTTTTTTTTCCATGTTTTACTGTGAGTTGAGTGAAAATTTATAGAGCATATCATCAATTTTACATTCAACAAATCATATACTTTGCTTCATTATGTGGTTTCAGTCCCCTCTGTGTACCACAGTTGATAGTGTTTACCTCTATCCACTTTAATTATTGCATTCCTCCCTGTGCCTCCCACTACTTTCATCTTTCCTCTGCTAACCTCCCTCTTGTATATTGCCTGCTCTGTCACCCGTGTTAACATTTAGTGGTTACAAATCAGGCTGCTAACCTCATGGTCAGCAGTTCAAAACTATCAGCTGTTTCATTGGAGAAAGATGAGGCTTTCTGCTCCCGTAACAGATTTACAGCTTCGGAAACCCTGTGCAGGGTCACTGTGAGTCGGTGCTGACTCCACGGTACTTAACAACAACAACCTTCTGTTGTATTGTAAGTACCGTGGAGTCGGTCCAACTCATAGTGACTCTGTATAGGATTTCCGAGGAGCAGATGTTGAATTTGAACTGTCAACCTTGCAGTTCAATTGATTTTGCAGTCCAGGGCTTATCCTACAGCACCACATCCTCTAGCCCATGAATAATTTTCTCTCCCCACCCCACCTTTCTGTAACCATCATAGATTGTTTCTTTTATCAAGAAAATCTTTCATTAACTTTTTGCAGCATTGGTCTCATGCAATATTTGTCCTTTTGTGATTGACTTGTTTCACTTAGCGTAATAAACATCCTCCAGTTTTAACCATGTTATGTGGTGTTCACAGATTTCATCATTATTCATCAAAATGTAGTTTTCTGTTGTGTGTATGTACCAATATTTAAACATTCTTCTCTTGATGGGCATTTAGGCTGTCTGCATCTTTTCAATGTGTCTCTTGTAGACAGTGTATTGAAGAATCCTGTTTGCTTAGCCATTTTGCTCTTTATGTCTCTGACTAGTATATTTAATCCATTTACATTCTGTGTAATTATCAATATGTAAGAATGGATTGCTGTCATTTTTCTGTGAGTTTTCTGGTGGTGCTGGATTCTGTGTTTCACTTAATTTTCTATGCTGAGTTCATTTTGTTAGTGGATTTTCTTTTTTTTGTTTTTGTTTTTTTCTTTCATTTTTGTTGTGTTAATGTTTACTGAATTGTTCTACTTTTCCTTTTTTTAAATTTTGATGTGCAGGGGTATATTATTTTTCTTTGAGGTCACCCTGTAATTTATTAGTTTTTGCTCAGTTTAAAACTGTCTGTTTTATCTTGAAGTTTTGTATCTACACTTATTTCCTGGTTTTGCTTTGGAGTTGACTTCATTATACATTGATATTTCTGGTACTCCATTTTCACTCTTGTAGGTTTGTTTTACTTTAAATATTTCTATATCTGGATGGATTACTGGGTGGTAGAATCATGTATAGTAATCTTAGGTTATTGTCTGCTGTTGTTGGTTCTCATTCCAAAGAATACCCTTTGGCATTTTTTATAAAGTTTGTCTGTTCATTACAAATTTCTTTAATTTCTGTTTATCAGGAAATCTCCTAATTCCACTGTAATATTTGAGGAACAGTTTTTCTGAGTGTATTATTCTTGGTTGGCATTGTTTTTCTTTTAGAGTTTTGTATATGTGATTCCATTGCCTTCTTGCCTGTATAATTTCTGCTGAGAAATCAGAGCTTAATCTTCCTCTGTAGTTATCATTTTTCCCGTGTTGCTCTCAAGATTCTTTGCTTGTCTTTTGATTTTGAAAAGTTTGATTATATCTTGGTGATTTTCTTTTGGAATCTATCCTGTTTGGAGCTTGTTGAGCTTCTTACATGCTTATCTTCTCACCTTTCTTAAAGCTTGGGAAGTTTTCTTCCAACAACTCTTGGATAATTTTCTCTGATTTTAATTTTTTTCTTCTTGTTCTGAAATTCCGATTACCCATAAGTAGTTCTTAATGGTGTTCCACATAACTCTTAGGCTTTCTTTGGATTTCTTTCATTCTTCTTTCTGATTGTTCTTCTGGTATACTAATATTGAGAGATTTATCTTCAGGTTCACTAATTCGGGATTCTATTGTTTCACATCTTTTCCTTTCTTTTAATATATTGTCCATCTCTAAAATCTTAATCTTTTGGATTTCTAATTGCAGGTTTTGTGTTGTTTCAGACTTTTCATTTATTCTGTGTGTTTGTTCTTCTAGTGTTTATCTGAATTTTCTGAAGATTTTTTGTGTCCTTGCTTTCTTCGATCTTTCTGTCAATATGTTGAAGGTACCTACATATCATTCTTTTGAAACTTTTTCAGTTAGTTCCATTGCCCTTTTTCCCTCAGCGTTCTCTTCTGTCTCTGAATCTTGGTCATTTGTTTGAACCATTCTCTATTGTTTCTTCATTTGAGCTAAAATTGTCTGTTGTCTCCAAGTCATTGTGGGGTTGTTGTATTTGTAAAATAAACGCTGTGGTTGTTGGACTTGGAGGAGAGAAATATCTGATGGGCTCCTGCAACTCAGGGAGGTGGTTGTGGAAGGGATGTGACAGCAGAGTCCCTGGGTCTAGATGGAGTCACTATTGGTTTCAGTGTTATCTGTGTTCAGGGCACCCAAGCTCGGAGTAATTCGTTGGGGCCCTTGATGTAGCTGGTGTCAGTGTCTGTTAAGACCACAAGGAAGCTGGGGCAAGGTGACTGGCTAAATGCTGGTCTGGTGGCTCTGTGAGTTTTGTAGATCTGGAGCTGAGCCCCACTGAATCCAGGCACCAAAGTGGCATACTAAAACAGTTTAGCTTGTCCCCACTTCAGCATGGCTCCCAACTACATGGCTCCAAACTCCAGGAGAGCAGGATTTGCACTATGGGTGGATGAAGGTGGGAGGTGGCCATACCACTGGTCATAAGCAGAGCATGGGGAAAAAGAAGAAATCACACCTTTCCTCTTGCTTGTGTGAGTCTTCTCTGTCAGGTCGCCCTCTGCTGCTAAAACTGCTCACGAGGTGGTCAAACTGCATCTAGCCAGCCATTCACCAGTCTTCTATTGTCATTGCACCTGCTCAGCTTCTCTTCCCAGCAAGCTCTATATCCACTTCTCTAATGTTTTCTGAAATTCAAGGTGCCAGAATTTTCATCTTTGTCGGCTTTATTTGCTTTCTCATGGCTTTGTTTTGGAGAGTACATGTTGTACATCTGCCTACTTCCCCATCTTGCCAGAATTTTCAGCTACTTGCTCTTGAACACATCAGTGCCTAAGTGGAGTGACTTTTTCAAAACAAACCTTATAGTCATGTTTTTTGTTTGTTTGTTAAGTGCCGTCGAGTCGGTTCCGACCCATAGCGACCCTGTACAGGGTTTCCGAGGGTGTAAATCCTTACGGGAGTAGAAAGCCTCATCTTTCTCCCGCGGAGCGGCTGGTAGTTTCGAACCGCTGACCTTAAGGTTTGCAGCCCGATTCGTAACCACTACGCTACCAGAGCTCCTATAGTCATATAGGGCGTTATTTTATTTAACAACATCTTATGTATAATTGTAAAATATATTTGATTTATATGTATTCATTATGGTTTAGGTTAAGATATATAGAGCAGATTCCTTTTCCCTTCAACAATCGGTTCACATTTTGTTTTGTAAATAAACTGCCAAGTGATCACCTAGGGTGGGTTCATACCTAGTCTTGAAGGATGTCTAATGGCCACAGTCTGGAGTGTTCCACCAGTCGCGGTGAGACCAGTAAGTCTGATCAATTTTTCTTACTTCTGTCCAAGACCTTCTGTGGTCATGATCAGACAGTCAGTCATATCAGGCCACCATTCAGTTCCTTTGATCTCAAGGACATGGTCTGTCAGTGCTGTGGAATTCAGTCTTTGATTTTCTTCACTCTTCTGGGACAGGCCAATGTTTACATCTTAGGTGGACACTTGTTGTTTTATTTATTTATTAACTTTAAAAATTCCGTTATCTTATAATTCCATTTTTATATGAATTTTTTGGTTTTTTTAAAGTTTTTATTGTGGATTGAGTGAAAGTTTACAGGGCAGATCATCAGTTTTACATTTAACAAATCATACACCTTGTTTCATTATAATGATTATAATCCCCTTCATGTACCATCAGTTAACAGTATTTCTCTCTATTCACTGTAGCTTTTTAAAAAAACAAAAAAACACGCAGGCATATATAATAATTTACACCTTTAAAGGGCACATTCTGCTGCAAGTCTGCCTCCTGGCCACCAGCTCTTCCCATGAATCTAGAGTCTTCAGCCGCTCCCCCTCTCCATGACCCCATCTCTGCCTCCATCTCTGGTGTTGCTACTTCTCTAGATAAGGTCCCGCATTCTGCTTGTGCTCTTCTCCCTTGATGGTCCTAGGGTCCTCTTTCTCGACTGTAAGATTAACCACTCCCATGTTTTTGTTGCAAAACCTGTATGTTTACAATTATGACAGTCGCAATTAGTCATTATAACAGTTACTCACTACGGAATCTTAAGAATCTTATCCCCATCTCTTTTCACCAGACCCATCTAGAAAAGGTGAAGAACTATTTAGTGAAGGGACTCTTTCTATCCCCACATACTCTTAAATTAAACTCCCTCTTGAAACCTTGTAAGCCAGTCACTTCATGCCTTTCTTGCTCCCTCATTTTAGGTAGCCAATGTCTTAAGTTGCCCATCCCTATCTACCCTGTTTACAGAGGGGATAGCATTATACTTGATGTGAAGACTCCTTCCCTCTCTGTAGGTATTTAGTTACTACCTCCATGAGTATATGTCTGGTTCATCAAATTGTATCAATTTACCCTTGTTTCCTTTATTTAAAAAAAAAATTTTTTTTTTTTTTAATCTTCCTCTAGTCAAGTTCCGATTATCAAGCTATTGAGGCTAGGTCGAATGGGTACTGTCTGCAAGTTTGGGTGTTCTTGTGCATCTCCCCTCACTTCATATCAGCTGAATGCTTCACTGTCAGTTATGTCCTTGGTTATGTCCTTGTCCATGGGCTCAAGTGTCCTCAGATCTCACCACACTTTGGACCAATCAGCCCTTCCTCTACTCTCTCTCATCTCCAAGTCAATGGACTGTGGTTGAACTTAGCCCATTTCTTCATTGCTGCCTTTCCCCTTCTTCCACTTACCAGTAGACCAATGAGGTTGCCAGCAAGCTTACATGCCGGTTTGTGTGTTCCTTTTGAGTTTCAGTCTTAGAGGGGAGTTTGTCCTGAAGGAACTTAATTGCTTGCCTTGATGGCTTCCTGGCAAGCAACTTGCTTATTCTTGTAGTAGCCAGTCATGCTGACATTTTTGTTTTGGGTTTTTCCTGATGATCTTTCTCTGACGATGTATCTTCCATTGCTGTAGCTGCTCCAGGATGGTCTGCTTGTCCTTGCTAGTGGGAATGTCCCACCTCAGAAGGTTCTTGATGGGACTCAGGATTCCAACTAAGTATTATACTTTGCAAAGGTTTTGCAAGAGTCCTATTTCACTGGGCAAGTTCTGGAACCCCTTGTAGGTATTCCAATCAGTTATAGGCTGAATTCAGGCCTACAAGTTTTCTGTAATCATGTTTCCCAACTTTCCTTTCTATCCCACTCAAGTGTGTATTTTACAATAGTAGGCAAGGAAAACCGATACTCATAAGACAGTCAAGCACCTTAGTATTATTTCCCCTCTTTCAAACTATACCTAGATCCTTGTATCTCAGAGCCCTGTTGTTCCAAGGTTGAG